CGATTTAGACGCCTCTGCCTGTATACTATTGTACTACTGTAAGATAGAGTTGCCATACATACTGATTAATCAAACTCAAGTCCTCCTTTTTTATTTGACAAGGTACCTTCTTTGCGCCGGCAAGCACTGCCCAACCCCCAAAAACCTTCGAGTAAATTATTCAAATCAGACAACTATTGCATAGTCATACCTACTGACCGATCATACTCAAGTCCTTGTACGTACTTTTTTTTATTTGCAAAAGTATCTTCACGAAATTTAGCATAATTTATTGTCCAAGGCAACGATACAGTCTCAGAAGAAATTATTCAGATCAGAAATTTTTTATACCCTTTTGTACTATAAAAAATGATCCAGGGAAAGAGTAATATAGCTTCGGTGTAGCCGAAGTTAACGTTTTTTTTTGTTATTATAAAGTCTTGTCAAGAGAGTATAAAACGTGCATTTACACACGAAATTCTTATATACATATGTATATGTATTTAAAATACCCATTGCTGTGTCCGTGTGTAATTATAAGTTCGATCTGAGTGCATCTTGGCTTATCTAATTGATTAACATTTATTTTAAAGCCCTACTTACCAAAATTTAACCTTGCAATAATCCTTGAATCCAGTCCCGACTAATGTAACTAAACCGAAAATATAAAGAACATTTATTCATTGTAATGGGTACTATTTTTCTTAAACTTTATTTTCTCTTTCTTACGCACCCAGTGTTAGACACAAAATGATTGAGTAGATGGTTAACACTTTGCTCCGTTTTATTGTCACTACGCCTTCTTTATTCGTCTTAACAGAAATGGGAGCCAATGCTAAGGCTCTGCTCAGATAAATAACACTTAGAGATGACTCACTGATTTCCATTTTGTAAAATTATTTTATTATTTAGTTATTAGTTAAAAATAATTTTAAATAGTGTTTTAAGTTCAAAGTAAACTTTACATATATATTTTATTTCAATTTCATGAAGCGGCACTGATTACTGTTTCAAAGGCATGGTGCTAAACAATTAAACTGTTCCTATAGCTTTTACTTCAGCGCAGCGTTAATTGTTCCCTTAACCTTTCCATATCAAATCTGACATAAAGCACAATGTAAGCATGTAATAAATTAAGCTTTATGACATTGTAATATATATACTTTGGCACATACCAGTGACGGATTTTGGCCACGTTTCCCATTAAAAGGTTAGTCTATGGTTTTCAAAAATTATAATAATTTGTATTTTATTGCTTAAAGTAGACCTTAGAATCTTAAAAACATTATTCAATTAATGTATTAGTCTAAAATATATTTGACCTGTTCAAACCGCTGTAATGTGGAGGCATTTAGGCCAGTCAGCTTTAGCGCGTTTTAAGAGGTCACATAGGTTTCCTCGAGCGAAAAAACGCCCTCTTTTCAATAATTATTTTCCATATAAGAAATGGTGAACTTTTTTCAAACTTTCTATTATTCTAAAGATAAAAATTTTATAAAGATTTTGTGAAATTTTCAAAGGAAAATATTTAAAACTCTGCCATTACGACGTCATTTCCGACAGTTCCTCCCCAAGAAAAAAGGTGTCACCGCGGTGACAACAGAACTTCTTTCAAAGTCATCAGAAGTAAAAAGAATAAAAGACGTGTTCTAATTAAGACCATAAACTAAGAAAAAACAAAAAAAAAAAGAGAAAGTTTTCTTTTTGGCAGATGTTTTTCACAAAAATTGCAAATTTTGGTGAACATTTCTTGACTTGTTTGTTTTAATAGTTATAATTGGACAAAACTAATCCTTCGTTATATCTCGAAGACCTCTGTAAAATTAAATTAAGATTGGTTGAGTAGTTCGCGAGATATCTTGACAGCCAACTTTGAAAACACAGTTTCTGACCTCGAGCGTGCATCAAGGCTGTATCTCGAAAACTATTACTCAGACCAACTTGAGAATTTAGGAAAATAATTCGGAGATGTTATAGAATTAAATAAAATAATAAAAAAAGTAAAAAAGTAGTAAACTATGTAAGTTTTTTGTTATTACTCCAACTTTATTACAAACATTTTACTGGTAATCTTTTCAAACAAAAATTTATTTAAAACTAAAAGTTAGATACTATAGTATATTATGTAAAGATAAGATACCGTTTTTTTATTTTCTTCTAAATCACCCGAGTTCTTTGATACACCGTTACCCATATATTGAAAAAAGACCCAAGAGTAAACATTTGGTTTCAAAATGGCAATTAAAAAATTTGTATATGAACTGAAAGTAATGTTTAAAAAAGTCTGAAAAGAAATAAATTTTATTCCTTTTGCCTAACTTGTCAGAGTTAGGCCTTTCTTCATGGCTCTAAAGTGGCCTAACATCTCAAAAGTATGCAGTAATAGCTCTAAAGCAATTAACATCAATAAACGTCTCTATGTACCCTTGTCAGTTCCATATTTTACAAACGATTTTATAACGAAAATGAAATCGTAATATTCTATCTATAAATATTGAAGCGAAATAATTCGACAATATTTACATTTAATATGTAATTAAAACACGGAAAATTCAGGGAACCAGCTGCGACTTAAGTACATTCCATATTCCTTAGCGCATCCTCTTATTAATCGATATTAACACCTGTTTACAATATTATAAATTACAAACTTCCAATAAATGGGTGACAGGAAGATATTTTAAACAAGTAAGATTAGGCTGAGTTCGGCTACATTCAGATATCACTAATATTTACTACTGGATGACATAATGCCAAAAGCCAAAGGCAAACTTAATATATTTGAAGTTTATTGAGTCAATATACTTGAACAATTTTTTTCATCAAATATGGATAGTTCTTACAATGGTAGATACTTGTATATTCGTCATTGTTAACTATTTACCAAAATAAAACAATTCATTGATCGATTTTACCCATTTTCGACCCTAAACTTTAGACTATCTTTGAAAATATGTTATCTTAATTTTGCTAAGGCATCGAGCGATATTTTCGGTAAAAAGTCAACTATAAGCACTTGGGCTTGAACAGTTTTTTTTCGATTTGGACCATTTTTGGTGATGAGGTAGTAAACTTCAAAAGAACTATTTGTGCAAAGTTACATACTGGAATGTGGAAGGATCAGATGAATTTAAAATAACGTTATTTGAGAAGTAGGCGTGGTTGTAGTCCGAATTCCGAATTCCCATTTTTAACCTGTAACATAGGCATATTAGAAGAATTTTGTATACCGAATTTGGTTAAAATTGGTTGAGCAAGTCCCGAGATATGTGGTTTCACATGAAAATGGGCGTTGCCACACCCATTATCCAATTTTAGATAAAATTGAATGTGTCTGAAGCATTGAATTAGTAGTTTTTCACAAAACCGTTATATTGGGAGTGGGCGATGTTATCATCCGATTTCACCCATTTGCCCACTATCATAAGAAGGGTTGAAAAAATGTGTCATCTGTAAATTTGGGTTATTTAGCTTCATTGCTCATGGAAGATAAATACATTACATTTATCAGAGGGCGGAGCCACACCCACTTTTTAAAGGTTTTAAGCCACAGATGTCCCTCCTTAAGATATCTTAATTTTTACTCAAGTCACAGCTTGCACGGACAGACGGATGGGCGGACAGACAGTCACTCGCATTTCAACTCGTCTGGTCATCCGGATCATATATGTATGTGTATATATAATCCTATATTTATCTCGATTAGTTTTAGGTGATACAAAGACCCGTTTGTTGAACAAATTTATTATACTCTGTAGTAACATGTTGCAAGAGTATAAAAATATACATGTATATGCTGTGTGTTCAAACATATTTATGACTTATATTCACATATTAAACATACAACGTTGACCCATCGAATTTCGAGGAATTATTTTAACTTCATTTCATCGCATTAGCGGAGAAATTCACTTGTGCTGGAAAGTCTTAATTGGAAAGCTCTAACTATTATTGACTTTATATTAATGTGGTGTTTAAACATGAAGATTTATTTTACAAGTAGCGGCAGAAAGATTTTTTTTATAGTTTTATTTTAAATAATAAGTAGAAAAAAGAATTAAATATCTAGCCTGTCGATAAAACGTAGAAAAAATAACGAAATTACTACCCTATCGATCTAATTATGCATACATTTTTACCGCATAGCTGCACTGATGTCATTCAGGTGATATGTCATCTATATCTCTTGGTAATTTTACACCTCTAATCTTGTTCTCTGGTGTATTTTTTGTCATTCCAAGAACTTTGTTGTTGTAATTGTTATTGATGTTGTTTTTATGTAGTTCTGTGTAATAATAAAAACTCAAAATTACAATTGCTTTACATCTATTTAGTAAGCCTGATTACAATTCTTTTATTTAGTTTGAAATTTAACCATTTAATATTTTTATACATTTTTGTGAAAGGAATGCGCAGCAAAATATGATTATATTTCAACGCTTTTTGCAAACTTTTAGCCTTTATTATTTTCGAATTGTAATACAATAAAGAGATATGTAGCAATTCCTGAGCTGAACTGCAAATAAAATAAAAAAATTATTTAGTGTGGATTTAATATATAATACAACGATAATAGGACTTAACATCTATGCATATGTATGGTATAGTTAGAAAACTTTGAGGATCACTGTGGTATTTGAAACTATTATTAACAACTATTATTCGTTATTATCTAATATTTTACTAAAATTTTTGCTGTTGGTATCGACCTCATATCTATAAATCGTTTTAGGTTTTGAGTTGAATGTCCACTGAAGTATTGCCCATCTGTCAGGTAAGAGATTGATTCCACGTTCATAAAATTTTTGAACCTTGCAGCTAAAAAACTGGTTCAAGTGTTTTTCGACGTCCTGATTTGAGGTGAAGGTTCTCCCAAAATTTTGCAAAGAACCGGAACAAGTAATAGTCCGAAGGTGCTAAAGCTTGAGAATATGGTGGGTGTGGTAGCACATCCGATTCAAGCTGCAAAAGCTTTTGGCGAGTCATCAAACTTGTATGATAAAATGAAATTCCACCAAACAGACAATATAACCTTTTTTGGTGACAATTAACCTTCGAAGTGGTTTGAGTTGGTTCATCCTTTTTAGACCATAATCCCTTGCGCTTTATATTCTTGTGGATCACTTCTTTGAACTTTAATAAGCAAATCGCTATCGCTAATGCGACGAAGCAAATTTCGTTCCGTAAGAACATGAAGAATCCTAGACGTTTCATGAGCTTGTGAACGGCCGCGTTAGACAAATTTAATTTTTCAGCAATGTCTCGACTTGTTATTCGACGATTTGCATCGACCAACCACTTTATTTTATACACATCGGCTTCAAGAGTCCTTCCAGGATGAGGTGCATCCTCCAGATCGAAATTATCGGAAAAAAATTTTGCATTTTTATCTTTTTGATAGTAAAACAGTAAAATAGGCCGTAACTAATGTTTTCGGTCATCCATCTTCGATAGTTCACCAAACAGAAACGATTAAAAAAAATTTAGGATGTTTATTTTTTACAAACAATCCTTACTACTAGGTATGTTCAAAGAAAAAAGTGAATTTTGAATTTTTTCAAAAGTATTTGGGGGACTTAAGCCTACTTTTGGACTTTTACTTTTACTTAGTAGGTAAGCTTGGAACAATAACATATTTTATTTCGTCACACTTCCAATATACTTCGTTGATAGAAAATTAAACCATTTTATTGTAGTTGGTACTCACCGTTGTCAATATCGTTCTGTTGATATCACATATCCCCAATACCGAAAATCTTACATCGTAAATATGTAAATATTTCCAAAATTTTTGAAACTGTCAATAAAATTATAGTAATAGTGAAGTTTGCTATTAAAAGTAATACTTCGAAATTACTTACCTCAGCTGATAGCGATTGCTCTACAGTATTGCGCTTGATTTCGCTAACGATCTGTATGGTTTTCTTAGACTTTGTACGAAGAGAAACAAAATAAATTTTAATTTTAATTTAATATTATCAAAGAAGTAGCTTTAAATTGTTTAATATAATTTTTATATAGCTTCGACATGCTTCTACTCACCTCTACGGTCGCCTTGTGACAAGCTTCCACTACCAAAAGTAGTCTGAATATATGCATCATAATCCACATCATCTGACTGTAAGTCTGCAGAGTTATAGAAAACTCTCTGATAGCTATAATCATGAAATGTCCAGTGATGACTATATGTAGCATGCAGGAGATCAGGTTGCAAAGGACAGCAAAACTGAAGGCGCTGATTGAATCGGAAAATGGATATTAGTATTTATTATAAAGTAATTAGAGGAAATATCTGTTTTTTTTGAAAGTATTTTCATCAACTGATAAATGCAATTATCTTTCCTCCTTGGATTTTTTTGATTAACGAGACACTTTATTATTCCATAACTCTCAAAAAGATCCATAATTATAACGGCGAAATATAATATATTTATAGAGAAAAAAGTGTGAGAAATAGAGTGGCTGTCTGACGACGCACCTAGGCCTATAGGAGGCCCATTGTGATACCACCGGGACTAATGTTCACTTAATCTATTGTCTCCTCTCTGAGCAACCCCGTGCTTCTGATGAAGTTCATCAGTACAAATAGTTTTATTTGTGCAACCTCTGAAACGTTGTCCAGAAACCCTCGACCGATAGTGGCGTTTTTTTTTCCCGTATAGAGCCTTGCATTCGCATAAAAGATGTTTTACAGTCTATGCTTCTTCTATTTACTGACAGCTTCTACAATAGTTATTGTATGGTGCACCTAGGCTGTGACGGACACGGACCTGTTAGCACACTTTATAGAGTTCTTACGTCATTCCTTTGAATTTTAATAGTCGGCATTTGTGGCCCATCTTCCATTCATGCCACGTTTGCCTAGTTGTTGAGCCAGTCAGGCATTGACTAAATTTGTATCATGTTCGTCGATTAAATATATACTAGTGGCCAGAGGCACAAAAATTCCCTCTTTTCGGAGTCTAGCTGGTGGGTGGTGCCTGTGGTGGTGGCTAGTTCATCTGCTTCACAGTTAATAGAAAAAGAGAAGAGAAATAGAAAAGAAATATACAGCCCAGTAATTTTACTATTTTTATACCCTGAACAGTTTGTCGAGAAGTTTGTAACACCCAGAAGAAAACTATATATATTATATAACTGATCAGCGAGACGAGCTGAGTGAATTTAGCCTTGTCCGTCTGTCTGTATATACACCTAGTCGCTCAGTTTTTGAGATACCGATCTGAAATTTTGCACACGTCTTTTTCTCTACACGAAGCTGCTCATTTCATTTCATTCAAACATTGTCGGAACCGCCGATATATAATCACTATATTTATATATAGAAATTTGATATGGATTATTGGCTAAGGCATCAGTGTAATATCCGAAGAAATTGTTGTGATCGGACCACTATAGCATACAGCTGTCATACAAATTGAACGATGGGAATCGAGTGTTTGTAAGGCATCTTTTATATTTGAGAAGGCTATTATAGCTTCGGTGCAACCGAAGTTAACCTTTCTTCTGGCTTCTTTTTATTTTAATGCCTTTTTTAGACTGTGAGTTACTTTTTTCTGCAATACAAACTTTCATTGTTTTCTTCGCGTAAAATCAAATGATCAATAGAACTTTTGCTACATCCCTGGCTAGAAATTTCTTATAGCAAAAACGTATGAACTTACTTGGAAAATATTTCTACACACTTATACAACGATTCGTAATTGTCGGCCAGTAATTTTAACAGCTCAACTCTAGGTTTGGCTAGAAATAGAAATGAATGAGTTTATTAGAATTCTGTGTATTTATAAGTAATCCATACATAAAATATGATGTACTTGTATTATAAATAAGGTGTATTGAATTGTTTCCTTACTCCTACTTACAATGTTGATTTCTCAGGCGATCAAATTCATGGTGTGATAAATGTTCTTCATCAGATGATAAATTATTAACCCAAGTCTTCCTCAAGCGTTTTTCGTCTGTGAGAACAGATAATGAATGCATAGAATACTTTTGAATGTTAGGTAAATAGTATTAACAGATCAGCATCTTTTGGATAACTTTAAAACTTAAGCTTTTATAAATTATTGTCAAAATTTCTAACAGAGATGAATCTCTTTTTAAAGAACGAACTTCAAGTACCGAACGTTCTGAATTTCCTTCTTTCCTATTGTGTAAAGCTAAGTTTAGGTCCGTGTTTTACTATTGATCGAAAACTTACCACTTTAGAAGTAACAAAAACGACGCCACAATCAAAGCTTTTATTGCTATCTGTGATTAGTTAGAGGGTAGTGAATAGTACAAATTATTTAAACTAGTCTTAAGTTATTAAAATCAATAAATACATACATATACTTGTAGTATAATACTAAATAAGTAGCGCTCAAATGCGCCAACCGCAAATTATATTGACGTTAACATGACAATATGAATACTCAGCTCTATCTATTGATATAATATTATTAGATAAGATCTAATTTTCTATTGAAAATTTAATATATTCATTTGAACGCATTAATTTGCACTATATAACTGATTTGTTTAGTTTTCATGCATATCGTATGACAATGAGAACTTAATTTAAAACACAAAAATTTTATACAAAAAATTATGTATACAAAATACTTTGTATAAAATGATCTTACCCAACAAGAAATGGTATTTCAATATTCTTATTCAAACGGCGAAAACGTCTACCAAGCCCTAGAGCGTTATTGGCATTACAAAATGTGACTTCCAATCAGCACTAAATAAATGCCATAAATGGTATTACCAATTAAAAGTGGCTGCTGCAAAAGAAAAATTAATAAGTGAGGTTATCGCAAATTGTTCACTTGTGAAAAGTCTTACCAAGAAAATGTTGTGACCCCAATCAGCATCCACACATAATAATCGAAACCTATAAAATCGATATAACTTGATTATATGTAAATAAAAATTAAATAAACCAACTTATGATTGCTCGAACATTATTGATGGTGCTTATGGCAATATTCTAGATATAAAAGCGATCATTTTCGAAATTCACAAAGAAGTGCAGAGTTTCGTCTAGCTGTAGAAATGTAATTTAAATTAATTTATGAGTTATTGACGTGTATATAAATGTTATTACTAATGACAATTTTTTATAATTTAACTCAAATAAATTTATAAAACAAATATTATTTTCAAATTGAGAAAAATTGTATTTTAATAACGCTTTTGAATTTGAGAATTAGAAAACAAATGTTGGATTTCTTAGAAGGTGTTTTTAACTGACCAGATCTAATTAGTTTATAGAATTACCACCTAGTGATTATAAAATATGAAATACCTTCCTTAAACGCATATTGAGCTTTGTGTAGGCTTCACACTGCAAAGACCGCAACTGTACCAAGCAATACATGTCAGCGCCACCATGCTCACATCCAAGAGTGACCACTTGTAGCGTTGAAGAATTCACGCTGAAATTTTTAGACATGTCATTAGTAACAGTAATACGTTATTAAATTGATAATACATTAAATATGTGAAGACTGTTGTTAACGGTTTCTAGTTCGTTTGTTTTCTCCCTTTGATCAACAGGCATTGTACAAAATTGTGCCTTTGTCTCTATTGTGATTTTTATACTCTCGCAACATGTTGCTACAGGGTATAATAGTTTTGTTCACCTAACGGTTGTTGTATCACCTAACACTAATCGAGATAGATAAGGGTTATATTTATTATACAAGTAAATGATCAGGGTAACGAGACGAGTTAAAATCCGAGTGACTGCAACGATAACTTGGTTCCAAATTGAGATATCTTGATGAAACTTAGTACACGTGTTCCCTGGTCCCCAAGGGGTTAGCCATGCGATTGGGCGTAATCGAACCACTGCCACGCCCATAAAATGCCATTGAAGGAAACTATTAGTGTCTTAACTAAGCCATAAAGTAAGATACAAATGTAATGCGTGCAAGTGATCGCAGGGTTAAAAGGCATTTGTGGACTAAACATTTTCAAAAGTGGCGCGTGAGCCCCGCCCTCTACATGATTACAAGTACATATCTCCAAAACACTGAAGCTATGTACTTATATATTCTGTGAAAATAAAGAAAATCAAAAATAACCACAGCTTTTTGAAAGTTACTAAAAGTGCGATAACTCATTGAAGAAAGAGCCACAAGTCTTAAATTTTTACAGCCAGGATGGCTAAGAAGGTTCTTAATGGTAGCTATATTTCAGTAATACTAGACCATTTGCAACCAAATTTGGTATATGAAGTTACCCAATAATTTTATCATATTTTGTGAATAAGGGTGCAATCGGTTGATAACCACGCCTACTCCCCACATAACAACGTTTTAAATTATTATCAATTCTTTCACTTACAGTATACAAATCAAACATCAGTGCAGTTATTAGGGTAAAACTTTGTACAAATAGTAATGTAACGCCCAAAATTGTTGGACCCAGACACAAAATATGTGGACACCAGTGCAAAAATATATGGCTGATTTTTGAAGTGAAACTTCTTCGCGCTCGTTGCGCTGTAATTCCGGTATCAATAAACGAAAATCGACAGGAAATGTTAATGTCGATGTTAATTCTCTCATTATTCTCCCTAATTTGCCAAAGTTTACTTGCTCACGCAGTAGACTTTGACGGACACAGTAGCTAACCAGCGAATATTTTATTATCGGAAACATGATAAACAATGAAACAGTATATCAGTTTACCCTTGCGAGAGTATAAAATGTTCGGTTACACCCGAACTTCGACCTTCCTTACTTGTTATATATAAAATTGGCCGTGATAAATACATAAACTATAGAATCGATTTTAACCAAATTTCATACTTTGTGTGCAGGTTGATTCAACTTGAAAGATAGAACAGTTTATAATGTTTCAACTTATAATAAAAATAGTTTCACTCTCACAATAACACCTAAAATTATCCGTGCAAGCGATAAACTTGAGTAAAATTATATATATTAATGTAACTTGGCACATGGCGCAGTGAGGAGCCGATGCCTCGTCCCCTAATAGGTTTAATGTACATATCTCCCAAACCATTAAAGCAAATAACAACAAATTTCGCATCCTGATATGCTTACCAATCTTGCAGTGTGAAATGGGCGAAATCAAACATAACCCCTCCTTATTCTCACATAATCTTCTTAAGAAACTTGTTCTCAAATATTGTATAAATGTCAAAAGTTGAGACAATCTCTTAGGCCTTCCCCTAGCCCCAATCAAACTTTAAACATTTTGTATTTAGTTTTCCTAAATAGAAAGTGGCTTAACGCTGAATGAAAGCTATCTATACCTTAGTCTAAAGCCTATAACCTTTCATATAATGATTTCGATCCTCTGGTTAATCTTGGTTAATAATGGGTATTACCACTTCAAAGAAATTATTCAGACCACTATAATATATAGTTCTATTCAAACTGACCGATCAAATTCAAGGCAAGATCTTTTTTGTACCCTTTGTACTATAAAATGCACCAGGAAAGGTAATAAAGCTTCGGTGTAGCCCGAAGCTAACGTTTTTTTCTTTATTATAAAGTCCTGTCAAGAGAGTATAAAATGAGCCTTTACACACGAAATTCTATATATGTATATATATTTTAAATACCATTGCTGTGTCCGTGTGTAATTATAAGTTCGATATGAGTGCAACTTGGCTTATCTAATTGATTAACATTTATTTTAAAGCCCTACTTACCAAAATTTAACCTTGCTATAATCCTTGAATCCAGTCCCGACTAATGTAACTAAACCGAAATATAAATAAATATTCATTGTAATGGGAACTATTTTCTTTAATTTTATTATCTCTCTTACGCACCTAGTGTTAGACACAAAATGATTGAGTAGATGGTTAACACTTTGCTACGTTTTATTGTCAATACGCCTTCCTCGTTCGTCTTAACAGAACGGGCCAATGCTAAGGCTCTGCTCAGATAAATAACACTTAGAGATGACTCACTGATTTCCATTTTGTAAAATTATTTTATTATTTAGTTATTAGTTAAAAATAATTTTAAATAGTGTTTTAAGTTCAAAGTAAACTTTACATATATATTTTATTTCAATTTCATGAAGCGGCACTGATTACTGTTTCAAAGGCATCGTGCTAAGCAAGTAAACTGTTGCTATAGCTTTTACTTCAGCGCAGCGTTAATTGTTCCCTTAACCTTTCCATATCAAATCTGACATAAAGCACAATGTAAGCATGTAATAAATTAAGCTTTATGACATTGTAATATATATACTTTGGCACATACCAGTGACGGATTTTGGCCACGTTTCCCATTAAAAGGTTAGTCTATGGTTTTCAAAAATTATAATAATTTGTATTTTATTGCTTAAAGTAGACCTTAGAATCTTAAAAACATTATTCAATTAATGTATTAGTCTAAAATATATTTGACCTGTTCAAACCGCTGTAATGTGGAGGCATTTAGGCCAGTCAGCTTTAGCGCGTTTTAAGAGGTCACATAGGTTTCCTCGAGCGAAAAAACGCCCTCTTTTCAATAATTATTTTCCATATAAGAAATGGTGAACTTTTTTCAAACTTTCTATTATTCTAAAGATAAAAATTTTATAAAGATTTTGTGAAATTTTCAAAGGAAAATATTTAAAACTCTGCCATTACGACGTCATTTCCGACAGTTCCTCCCCAAGAAAAAAGGTGTCACCGCGGTGACAACAGAACTTCTTTCAAAGTCATCAGAAGTAAAAAGAATAAAAGACGTGTTCTAATTAAGACCATAAACTAAGAAAAAACAAAAAAAAAAGTGAAAGTTTTCTTTTTGGCAGATGTTTTTCACAAAAATTGCAAATTTTGGTGAACATTTCTTGACTTGTTTGTTTTAATAGTTATAATTGGACAAAACTAATTCTTCGTTATATCTCGAAGACCTCTGTAAAATTAAATTAAGATTGGTTGAGTAGTTCGCGAGATATCTTGACAGCCAACTTTGAAAACACAGTTTCTGACCTCGAGCGTGCAACTTTTCAAGGATGTATCTCGAAAACTATTACTCAGACCAACTTGAGAATTAAGACAATATTTCGGAGATGTTATAGAATTAAATAAAATAATAAAATACTATCGACAATATTTACATTTAATATGTGATTAAAACACGGAAAATTCAGGGAACCAGCTGCGACTTAAATACATTCCATATTCCTTAGCGCATCCTCTTATTAATCGATATTAACACCTGTTTACAATATTATAAATTACAAACTTCCAATAAATGGGTGACAGGAAGATATTTTAAACAAGTAAGATTGGGCTGAGTTCGGCTACATTCAGATATCACTAATATTTACTATTGGATGACATAATGCCAAAAGCCAAAGGAAAACTTAATATATTTGAAGTTCATTGTCAATATACTCGAACAACTTTTTTCATCAAATATTTTTTCATCCTTACAATTGTAGATACGTGTATATTCGTCATTGTTAACTATTTACCAAAATAAAACAATTCATTGATCGCTTTTACCCATTTTCGTCCCTAAACTATAGACTATCTTTGAAAATATGTTATCTTAATTTTGCTAAGGCATCGAGCGATATTTTCGGTAAAAAGTCAACTATAAGCACTGGGGTCCACATATTTGGTACCTAGGGGCTTGAACAGTTTAATTTCGATTTGGACCATTTTTGGTGATGAGGTAGTACACTTCAAAAGGACTATTTGTGCAAAGTTTTATCGCGTTACATTAATTCGTCCTTTATTTACATACTGGAATGTGAAAGAATCAGATGAAATTTAAAATATCGGTATTTGAGAAGTAGGCGTGGTTGTACTCCAAAACCCCCCATTTACACACTGTAACATAAGAATATTAGGAGAGTTTTATGTACCAAATTTGGTTAAAATTGGTAGAGCAAGTCCCGAGATATGTGATTTCACATGAAAATGGGCGGTGCAACACACCCATTATCCAATTTTGACACCTGTTCCTATAAAGCCCTCTTGTGTCATCCTAGGTGTAAAATTTAATGGATCTGACGCAGTTAGTTATTGATTTATCGCAGTTTTAGTAGTTTTTCACAAAACCTTTATATGGGGAATGGGCGAGGTTATCATCCGATTACACTCATTTGTACACTATCGTAAGAAGGGTTGGAAAATGTGTCATCTGCAAATGTGGGGTATATAGCTTCATTGGTTTGGAAGATACATACATTAAATTTATTAGGGGGCATTTCAAATCGTCTTGTCATTCTGATCATTTATGTATAGGCAGCCTCCACACAGTAACTTTACGATCTTTATAAACAAACTATTTCTGTCCACTCAGCAAAAATACAAATTCTTAATAAGCATCTTTGCTTATTTAAGTAATCAATACTCATTCCAATAAAGCTAAGACCACAGCTTCTTAAATAAGCATCTTTGCTAAATTGAAATAAAGAGATTCAGTCTTCCATCAGGAGCACTCAAACCAAATCGCTGATTTCTTCCGTGCTTGCGCGGATAATATATTTTTTAAAACTTCCACATACGAGGAAGTTAATTTGCACACATAACCCTATATCTATCTCGATTAGTTTTAGGTGATACAAAGACCCGTTTGGTGAACAAAACTATTATAGTCAGTAGTAACATGTTGCAAGAGTATAAAAATATATATGTATATGCTATGTGTTCAATTTTTATGACTTATATTCACATATTACACATACAACGTAGTCCCATCGAATTTCGAGGAATTATTTTAACTTAATTTCATCGCATTAGCGGAAAAATTCACATGTGCTGAAAAGTCTTAAGTGGAAAGCACTAACTATAAATTCCTTTACACTAAGGTGGTGTTTGAAAATAAAGGTTAATATTACATGTAGCGACGGAAGAATGTTTTTGTTATAGTTTTATTTCAAATAAAAAGTAGAAAACTGAATTAAATATTTAGCCGGCCGATAAAACGTAGAAAAATCAATGAAATTACTATGAAACCCTGTCGATCTAATTTTGCATAAGTTCTTACCGTCATCTATATCTCCAAGAACTTTGTTGTTGTAATTGTTATCGATGTTGTTTTCATGTACTTTTGTGGTATACAAATTTATTAGAAAACACACCACTTTGTTATTTTAGAAAAAAAAACTAATAAAAAACTGAAAATTTCAATTGCTGATGCCATTTATTTAGTAAGCCTTATTACAATTCGTCTATTTAATTTAAAAATTAACCATTTAATATTTTTATACATTTTTGTGAATGGAATGTGCAATAATATATTATTATATTTCAACGTTTTTTGCAATATTTTTGAATTGACTTCAAAGATATAAGGTATTTTCGAATTGTAAAACAATAAAGAGATATGTAACAATTCCTGAGCTGAACTGCAAATAAAATAAAAAATTTATTTAGTGTGGACTTAATATATAATACAACGATAACATGACTTAACATCTATGCATATGTATGGTATAGGTAGAAAACTTTGAGGATCACTGTGGTATTTGAAACTATTATTAACAACTATTATTCGTTATTATCTAATATTTAACTAAAATTTTTGCTGTTGGTATCGACCGTAAAAGACGGTACCTCATATCTATAAATCGTTTTAGTTTTTGAGTTGAATGTCCACTGAAGTATTGTCCATCTTTCGAGTAAAAGATTGATTCCACGTTCTTAAAATTTTTGAACCTTGCAACCTGAGGAAATGAAATTCCACCAAACAGACAATATAACCTTTTTTGGTGACAGTTGGCCTTCGAAGTGTTTTGGGTTGGTTCATCCTTTTTAGACCTTTTTTGACCTTTGATAAGCAACTCACAATCGCTAATGCGACGAAGCAAATTTCGTTCCGTAAGAACAGGATAAACCCATTTGTCAAGCATCGAAATTAATCCTAAACGTTTCTTGGTTTTGTGAACGGCCGCATTAAGCAAATTTAATTTTTCAGCAATCTCTTTAGTTGTTATTCGACGATTTACATCGACCAACGACTTTATTTTATACACATCGGTTCCATGAGTGGTGCATCCTCAAGATCGAAATAACCGGAACAAAATTTTGCAAACCAATTTTGGCATTAGCGTTCGATCAACACGTCTTCTCCGTGCATATCACATAATTTTCGCCTTGCCCAAACTGCATTTTTACCCTTTTAATAGTAAAACAAACTAGAAGGATTATAGCAATAGAAATCTTCTGCAAGGAAGCACCCTATGTTGCATGCAAAGATGTTGTCATCAAACGAAATTACTTAGTGAAGGACCCAATATTTCTACTGCCCAGACTTGGCGGTCGTCGTAACCGTTTGCTTACAAAACCAGTGTCAAGAATGGAATTAAAACCCGAGATTCAATTCTTTAATAACATCTGCCCTTATGTAGGCAATTAAGAAACCGAAATTTTAGTAGAACTCGTTCTATGTCGGAAAACAAAAATATTCACAAGGCAATAGAAGTAGGTAATAGTTAGATTAGATCCAAGTCATTCCTGAGCCATTGCAGTAGTTGTTTTATTTTTTGACTTGCAATATAATTTTGATCTTGGTAGACTTTACTAGTTCGTACATTAATAATCTTCAATTTTGTCTTTGAAATATTAACCCGATATTTTCGAACTGAAACACGTGAAATTCTTTCATGCTGGAGCATTGAATTAATTAAGTCGTTTACCAATATTCTTTCTTTTCGTAAAATTCTATTTGGGGGACTTTAGCCTACTTTGAAACCTTCTTAGTAGGTAAGCTTGGAACAATAAGATATTTTATTTCTTCACACTTTCAATATGCTTCAGTGATATAAACTTTAACCTTTTTATTGTAGTTGGTACTCACCGTTGTCAATATCGTTCTGTTGATATCACAGATCCCCAATACCGAAAATCTTACTTCGTAAGTATGTAAGTATTTCCAAAATTTTTGAAACTGTCCATAAAATCAAAGTAATAGTAAAGTTTGCTATTAAAAGTAATGCTTGGAAATTACTCACCTCAGCTGCTAACGATTGCTCTACAGTTTTGCGCTTGATTTCGCTAACGATCTGTATGGTTTTCTTTGACTTTGTATGAAGCAACCAAATAAATTTAAATTTATTTAATATTATCAAAGAAGTAGCTTTAAATTGTTTAATATAGTTTTTAAAAAGCTTCGACATGCTTCTACTCACCTCTACGGTCGCCTTGTGACAAGCTTCCACTACCAAAAGTAGTCTGAATATATGCATCATAATCCACATCATCTGACTGTAAGTCTGTGGAGTTATAGAAAACTCTCTGATAGCTATAATCATGAAATGTCCAGTGATTACTATATGTAGCATGCAGGAGATCAGGTTACAAAGGGCAGCAAAACCGAAGGCGCTGATTGCATCGGAAAATGATATTAGTATTTATAATAAAGTAATTAGAGGAAATATCTGTTCTTTTTGAAAGTATTTTCATCAACTGATAAATGCAATTATCTTTCCTCCTTGGATTTTTGATTAACAAGACAATTTAGTTTTCCATAACTCACAAAAGATCCATAATCATAACGGCGAAATAGAATATATTTATAGAGAGAAGAGTGGAAGAAAGAGAGAGAGAGATAGAGATAGATAGATAGAGGGCTGTCTGACGACACACTAGGCTCAGCCCATTGTGATACCACCGATGCTAATGTTTTCTCACTCTATTGTCTCCTCTGAACTACCGAACAAATAGCAATGCAACCAGTCCAGGCATACCA